ATCCATATAGGGATTTCTTTAGCTTGAGAACCATCCTTTTGTCTAGTAATTCCAATCCTGGAGGAGGTTTCATGTACACTTCCTCATGCAATTCCCCATGGAGGAATGCATTAGACAAATCCATTTGATATATGTGCCAGTCATTAGCTGCCGTAACTGCTAACAAAACCTTAACTGAATTAATTTTAGCAACTGGGGAAAATATATCTAGGAAGTCTATCCCATTATTCTGAGTAAACCCCTTAGCTACAACTCTGGCTTTGTGCCTCTCAATGTTCCCATATGCTCTAAGTTTAATTTTGTACACCCACTTGCATCCTATTGCCTTTTTACCGGGAGGAAGGAAGGCTGGTTCCAAGTCTGGTTTGCTTCCAGTGCATCCCTTTCCTCATTCATAGCTTTCCTCCAACAAAGTTCTAAACCAGCCTCATCATAAGATCTAGGTTCCACAACTGTCATCACATTCATTACATATGTCTTATGTGCCTGTGGCAATTTGTCATAAGTGACATAGTTCTCCGTTGCATACCTCTGCACAACTACTACTTTGTAATCCTTGTGCCACACAGGAATGGTTTTTAACCTGTCAGATTTTCTCACTGCTTGGCTCATCATCAACATCAGCTTGCTCAACCAGTTCATCAGGCTCCCCCTCCATATGTGGTCCAGAAGCCTCAAGGAAATCAGTAATGGGCTCAGACAATGTGTCAGGATAAGGAAAAGAAGTGGAAGTAGGTGCAGAAGAAGAAGAAGTAGAAGGAGAAGGAGAGGATGAGGATGATGGTTGTGAGGGAGATGGAATCACATTCTATGATAGAGAAGGTGATGTTGAAGGCAGAATGGGGGAAGTTTTAGGGAAAACAACCTCCACAGGGCTAGGAATGAGTGAAGGTATAGGAGTAGGTGAAGAAGATGTATTATGAAAAGGTAGAATAGTCCCATGTAAAATGACATGTCCGGAGACAAAGAAATGGTGAGTGTTCAGGTCAAAAAATTTATATCCTTTAGTTCCAGAAGGGTAACCAAGGAATACACACTGTCTAGCTCTAGGAGTGAATTTAATTCGATCCCTTAGTAAGGTAGAGGCATAACACAAATTGCCAAAAACCTTTAAATGAGATAATTTTGGAGGTTTCTCGTAAAGCAGTTCAAAGGGAGAAAGATTGTCAGTGATTGGGGATGGCAATCTGTTGATAAGGTGAACAGCATGGAGTATGCAGTCACTCCAAAAATGAAGAGGGAGACCTGATTGGAACCTAAGAGCTCGTGCAACATTGAGCATATGTTGATGTTTCCTCTCAACACGAGCATCTGCTCAGGAAGTTTGATGCATGATTCCATGAGAAGAATAAAAATCAAGCATGTGGAACTCATTACCCTGATCACTTCGAATCACTTTAACTGCTTTGTCAAATTGTTTGTGAACCATAACACAAAAAGATTTCAAAAGATCACCAGCTTCAGACTTGTGTTTCATAAAAAAGATCCAAACACTCCTAGAGTAATCATCCACCAATGTAAGGAAATAAGAGTAGCCATCATGAGACTTTACAGCAAGAGGTCCCTAAATGTCTACATGAACTAGATCAAAGAGAGACTGAGCTCTACTATCACTGTCTGGAAAAGGAAGTTTCCTTTGTTTGGAAAAATGACAGGTTGGACAATGAGTAACTATAAACTTATTACAACCAATAACTTGTTTCTCTCTATCTTTACCAGGATGGCCTAGTCTCTAGTGCTAGAGGTCAAAGTGATGTGGTTCAAAGTTGTAGGTGGCTGCTACTTGGTGAGAAGGTGTGGCAGAGGAAGAGCTTGGCAAGGAAATGAGGTGATAAAAGCCTTTAATTTGTCTTGCTAAACCAATCTGGGTCTTGGTTGTCAGGTTCTGAATATGACAAGAGTCAGATTCAAATGACAAAGAAAGGGGAAGGTCATGTGTAAGCTTGCTTACTGAGATCAAATTAAATGTGAAGCTGGGGACTAACAAAACATTTTGCAGGGACAAACCAGTAGGGGTTTTGGCTCTCCCTATATGACTCACTAAGACCCTATTCCCATTAGGCAAGTGAACAAACTGATTAACCACAGGTTTAGCATCTAGAAAGAATGACAGTGAGCAAGCAATATGGTCTGAAGCTCCTGTATCTAAAATCCAAATCTGAGCTAGTTCCATCAAACCATGCTGCAGGTAAGAGGATAAGACATATTTACCAGAATAGTTGGGAAATGGAGGCAATTGCTGTGAAACAAAATAGGCAGCATGTTTGTGGAAAGCATGTTTGTGGAAGGAGAGAGTGGTGGAGAAGGACTCATGCTATCTGACCGCTGAAGGAGAAACTTAAGCTTATTAAGCTAATCACAGGTGAAGCTAATGGATCCTGGAGAAGAAGCTTTGCTGTCAATGTTGTGGTTGTGGCTGTGTGTTGAAGAGTTGGAATCACCACTGTGGAATCAGGTTTCCAGTCAGGTTGTGAGACTGAACCTGCTATAGGGTTACCACCAGACATCCTTGCAACTTTGTTCTTCAATCGATAACATTCTTCTTTGAGATGACCATCCTTCTTACAATATCTGGAAAACTTTCCTCCTCTGTCTGATTCAATAAAGTTCTTGTTGTTCTTATCACCTTCGTTATAGCTTGATTTCCTTGTTCCATCAGTACTGGCAGCCAGTGCTATAGATTGGATGCCCCTAGTACTACCTGCCTTATCTCCTTTCAACTTCTGTTCGTATTGGAGCAAGTCATCTACTGCTGAGTCCACAGTAGGCAAAGGTTTCATCATGAGCAGCTGAATCTGAATTACATCATATTCAGGTCTCAATGCTCGAAGGAACTTAATGAGATATTTTGTTTCTTGCTTCTCTTGAAAAGCAGTCACTGTTACACAAGGCCTGGTTCTTAAAGCTACACAGTCACATTCAAAAATTGGATTGAAGAGTAGATTCTCTTCCTATAACCCTTTAAAAGCTATGTAGTATTGAGTAATACTTTGAGTACCCTGCTTGCATCGTCCAATATCTTCATGTAAGTTAGCTAGACGCAAAGCATTTGAAGTACCAAATCTCTTCTTCAATTCATCCCACACAGCCTTAACATTTTCATGCTGCAAAACACTTCGGCTAATATCCTTCCGCACAGAATTGAGTATCCAACATAAGACCATAGTATTGGAAGCATCCCAAAGTAAGAAATCTCTATGTGTACGTTCAAGCATAGGAAGAGACCCATCAATAAAACCCAGTTTATGTTTCGTCTTCAGAGCCATTCGTATGGCTCGTTGCCAAGTTTGATAATCCGATCCATCCAAAATTGCAGTAACAATCGATTGACCCAGGTTCTCACCAGGGTTAATATAGTAGGGATTACCAAATTGAAGACCCAGAGGTTGGTTTCCTCCCGCTTGCTGTTGTTGGCCACTGTTGTTGGCCACTATTGTGAACTTAGCCACCATTGATGCTGCTCGAATTGAAGGTGCCAAAAGGAATAGCACCGGATTGAGGCGCTCCAGGTGGTGTTGTCATCTGTGCCATTTGTGAAGCGGAAAAGCGGATCAACGCCGCTCTAATACCATAAGAATATAGTGAAGCAGCTGCTAGGTTAAGCAGCTGCAGGGAAGAACGAATTGGGGTTTAATCGTTGAGAGAGCAGCTTGCTTCTCTCTTCCATTTTTATACTCTGTAAACTCAGAGTTCACTTACAGTAAAAAAGAAAACGTTTAACAGTAAATTTAAATTCTCCAAATAAAACGACACGTGGAGCTTCTCCATTCTTCTTTCATCAACGACTACGTCACCAGTCTTCACAACGTCACCGTTTTACTTCCTCTGTTTCTGCACTTCATCAGCAACGCAGAACTCTACACCTTCTTCTTCTCTGCTGCTGCCGCAATCAATCTAGTTTGTTAGGTGGACGGCCAAAGCTGATGTTGAGATCGGAGCCCAGGAGGTTGCGAGTGAGCTAGATGGAGTTCTCGACGGGGAAGGCTTGTGATGTTCTCGGCTGGTGAAGGTTGTGGAGATAAGGGTGTGGATTGGTGGTGGAGATTAGCAGGAGGAAAAATAGAATTTTATTTTTATTTTTTGTTCCAAATAAAAAAGATAAATGGATATAGGTGGAAAAAATTAATTTTTAAAAGTGATTTGTGTTGAGTTGGAGGTGACGTGGCATGTTGACCGTTAGTCAACGCGTTTGACCGTCCAAGTTAACGGTCAAACGTCGAGTTTGGCCAATTTCGTTATTTTGATGTATAGTTTGGGCCAGAATGTTGTAGATAGAAAAGATTGGTCATGATGTTTATTATGGTCAAAATTCAGGTCATACAAATATATTAACCCTATTATTTAAATGCCGAAAATCAATCAAGTTGGTGATATTCCAACAGTTTCATGACCGTCCCCGATTATAGTAAGTTTAACCGACGGAGAGGATTCATTGGCGATCCAGTAGGGCTGTTATTGAGCCGAGCCGAGCGGAGCTTTGCCATAGTTCGGGCTCGGCTCGTTAATAAATTTCCAAGCTCGAGCTCGGCTCGTGTTCGTCACGAGCTTTAATATGCAAGCTCGAGCTCAGCTCGTTTATGAAAATGAAAGCTCGAGCTCGGCTAGTCAAGTAAGGTTAACGAGCCCAAATCGAGTTTTGCTTATTAAATATTCATAATAGCTCAGGATTGACCTAAAACTGGGTATAAAATTACATTCAAACCTGTAGCAAAGTCTAGCAAAATAAAACACAACATTTTCCCCAATTTCAATACATAAAATCCATGAATTCTAGTCCTTTCTTATGCCAAAACGTTAAATGAGCTTGTTCGCGAGCTTTAGAGCTGAACATGATATGGCTCGAGTTCGGTTTGCTTAGTTAACTAGTTTGTTCGCGAGCCAGCTTGATTAAGACGAACCGAGTTTCAAACGAATTTTTCTCGAGTCGAACGCCGAGCGGTTGATGAGCGGCTTGGTTCATTAACAGCCCTACCGTACGATCCAGTAACCGGCCCGGTTCTGTCCTAACTCGCAAAGTAATCGGGATTTGGGATCCTTTCCCCCCGTCTCTGCTTCCAAGCTGACTAGCTGAGGGCAAATTCGATCCGCTTCACGATCTCTACCTCTTCCCCACTAGCTTATCGAAATCGCTCAGGGAGACATGGCGATGGCCTCACTAGCTGCAGCTCGTCGAGTAGTTTCCCTCGGCCGAGTTTCATCCCCCACTACATCCTTTCAGGCTGCCTCTCTCGTCCCCCGCCGCGGCCTCGCCGGCGCTGCAGGTAATCTCTACCCCCATTATCATCGTCTTGTAGATCCAAATATGAGAAAATTTCACTTGGCTGTTAGATGCATTTCCCGATTCTTTTACCGTCTCCTTGGTCGTTGAGAAAAAGAAATCAAAATGAACGGCTTGTCTGGCTAGGGCATCTTTTCAGCATCAGTTCACGATCAGGGTTGGATGAACTGAAAATGTTGGGGAGACTGATTCGTTTCATTTTTTTGTTTGGCAGATCACCATGGGCCACCTAAGGTTAACTGTTGGAGTCAACCCACGAATCCAGCTCAGTGGAAGGAAGAGCACGTAAGCTTTTTAAATCGTTCACCGCTTGGCTTTTCATTCAGAATTTCGTGCATTGTGTTGCTAGAGTTTGTATCATGGTGAAGTTTGCTCCTAGGGTTGAAAACCAAGATGGGCTAAGGTTATAAGCCAGCTTGAGTTCTCTGCTAGGTGAAAAGCAAATGTGAGACTGATAGCACATTCATTGGTTGATGAGAGAAACTGTATTGATTCTTTGTTGTAATTCCTCTCCTTGCAGTTTGTAATTGTGTCTCTGACTGGTTGGGCTCTCCTCATCGGTGGGAGCTACAAGTTTTTTACCAAAGGCAAGAAGGAAGAGGTAACTTTACTCTTGCCTTCAATGTGAGAGTTGCTTTATTCTTTTGCAATGTGGGTGTTGACGTCGACCTAAAAGCAACATTCTTTTCTATCTGATGTAATTTTAGTGTTTTGGGTCAAAGCTTAAAAACTTAATTGGTCTCTTACTTTTGGATTTGAGATCATGATTAATCGGTTATCTTCTGCTGTTTTAATGATAGCTTTAGATTTTCACTACAGTAAGCATGGCAGCATGACTTGACTGCCTTGTTTTCCCATCGTAACCTGTTTGTTCTATTTAATTCAATATACTGAGATGATCTGTTGAAGGTTGAAGAGAACTTCCCTTTCTTAAATTTGAGCTTGTACTTTCATATGCGGCTTCCCCTTTCGATTATCTTCTTTTCTGTCGTTCTGTATTGTGGCTGGTCTTGTTCTCTTGAGAATTTCCAGACCACGTGATGGGAAAACAATACAAAACTATTTATCACTGTATCCCTTTCTTTACATTTCTCACGATATTCTCTTTTTTCCAAGAGCTGTTGCTAGAGATGTCTTCCAGTTGTCATTAGCACCGCCTTAGATGTTAGAAACATTTAGACACAAATGCTCTGCCACCTTGTAACGTAGTGCAATGGCCTTCTGATATGCTTGAACTATTAGACCAAACGATAAGAAGCACTATGAGCTCCTTTGTAGACACCACCAGTGGTCTTGTTGATTTAATTTTAGTGGCATCTGTAACATTTTTGTGACATTGTATGGTTTGTTTTCCTGTCTTATTTTCGGTTTTGCCCTCACACCTGAATTTTCTCTTCAGTTGGTAGAAGCAAAGCACTGAGGTCCAGCACCTTCAGTTCCGGTGGTTCCTGGTAATAAAATGAATTCAGTTGGCCTTCACTGAGGATTCCTACCAGCTGTTTGTTACTCTCATTTTTTTTTAGAACAGATGATTATATTAACCGTGGGAAACGGAAAATTTGAATCTCCTTTAGAGAGATGGATAATAAACCCTTCACATTTTGATACTTGACATTTCCTATATTTCCATTACTTTTCTGATACTATCTTGCTTGGATATCTTATGTCAGTAGAAGTTACCTTGCAAGTCCAATAAAAATACAGATTTGTTCAATTTCAAACTATAAGGCTTTGAGACTGCTTCTGCTCTCAATGAACATTGCAAGTGGTTGTTATTTTCTCCTGCCCCATCCAAAAACATTGTTAGAAATACGAGCAACTTTAGGAGCAGGGAAATTGATTGATTCACAATTTCCACTTAAAAACTTCAGAGACTAACATCAGGAGATCTCATTCTGTTAGACCTTGGATGGGTCTGTTTCGTCTTTATACTCTGTCTCTTTCTTGTTCTGATGAATCTGGAGCAGGCTCTGATTCCTTATGCATCGAATCTGCATGATTGACTGCATTATTTGAGCTTCCATCCGTAGTAACTCCATCATTCTGAGATAGCACCTTGGGTTCCTCTAGCTTGGAAGTGCCTTTGCCTGACCTGTCGTCCCTTTTCAGTGGAGCTTCTTCTGAGTTTTCTGGCTTTGATAACTGATCAACCGGAGAATCGCCCTGCTCATCTACTGCTGCTATTTCCTTGACTATCGAAGTAGTACTTCTCTTGTCCCCTTCATCTTCTTCTCCATCGACATTTCCATTGTTCATCTTGTTGTTTCCCAACCGTCTGTTCCTAGCAACCACCCTCCACTTCTTTCCTCCAGCCTTTCTCGAGTGGAAATGTTTCCTCTTCCTTGCGGCTTCACCTTGAGAAGTAGTACCATTGCTTCCAGCCGCCGGCAATAATCCTTCTTCCCTGGGCAACGTCCTCCAATTATCACTTTCATTATTCTCCACATCAGATAGCTTCCTAGATGCATCATCCTTCTTCTCTTGGCCTACTACTACTGCATTGTCTGCTGCCTTTGTTCCATTGGTTGAAAGAGGGGTTGATGAAGGATCCTCATCCGAACCCGCTCTCCAGACCTTGACCGGGGTTTCGACCCCACGATGGTGATGGCGATCGTGATGACGATGCTTCTTCAAGTCCTGATTTTCGGCTTCCTTCTGCTTCAGACTCTCAGTTAGAGCTGCTGCAAATTGAGGATTGTTTTCCTTGTCTCCACCCTCTGAAGAAGTCAAATCTCTTCCCAGCAACTTGATCTCACTCTGTTTCTCCTCGAGAGCAATCTCCAAGGCCTTCCCTTCTTCTTTCAGGGAATTGATGGTGGAGTGCAGTTCCGCGACTCTCCTCTCAAGTTCCATCTTCTCAGCCGTCACTTTCTGGACCGCTGCCTTCATGTCCTCAGCTTTTCTCTTCATTTCACTGCTCTGTTCTCTCTCCTTCTGCAGATATGAGAAAAACAGCAAAGTTGGTCTTCCTAGACAATGTGATTTAATTAGCAGAGAGAGAGAGAGAGAGAGAGAGAGAGAGAAGGCCACTAGAAATAGTTGTGTAAGTTTATTATAAATGAATCTTCTTAGGGGTTAAGTCCGCAGCAAGTAAGCCAAAAGGCCTCAAGTTTATGCCACTCCACAAATCTCTTTTCACATAACAAGACCTGGCAGAAGTGCAGATGAAGTTAGTCGGAAAGAAATCTCTTTTCATTTTGGTTGTGTTTACCTACCTGCAAGAGAAGGTGAAGAGAGTAGAGCTGTTGTTCTTTGTCAGTGACAAGGAGATTGAAGATGCGCCTTTCTCTGAGCTTGTGAACCACTAGAACTCCAAGCAAAGCAGCACCGAATGCGATCAGCAGCATTACCCCATACGGCCTCCCTCTGTTGCTGTTTCCAGTCCAACCATTGCTGCTGCTACCGTTGAAGTTCCCCTTGATTGCCATTTCCTCTTTCTGTTAAGATCAAGAGTTGGTTCAGTTTGTGGGAGTTTATATGCATGCCTTATAGTTAGTGAGAGAGGGAGAGGCGGTACAGGAGTGAGATAGAGTTGCTGAACTGTTGGCTTTGTCATGTTAAAAGAGCAAGCTATCTACTCTTCCATTCCTCAGCTTTCTCTCTCCTGAGTCACAACACATGCACACTCGATCCACAGAGAGAGAGAGTGTGTGTGTATGTAGAAAGGCTCAGCATTTCCGCCCTAATAATTCAATGTATATTTCATAACGTAGAAGTTTGGAGCGATATGTCCAGTAAAGAAATCCAGTTAGGCATAGGGTTCATTGGTGAACATGACTCTTATTTTGGTTTACCCTCCTTAATTCCTTGCGCCAAAAGGATAGCTTCCAATTTGTTGAGGAAAAGTTGTGTAGAAAAATGTAAGGATGGAAACATCGTGCACTTTTTAAGGTTGTTAAAGATACTCTTATCGGACTTCAGTAACTAACTTACCAGTTCACGACATATCTTGCTTCAAATTCTCGATAGAAACTTGTCGACGTATGAATGGTCATGCAGTGCGATTCTGGTGAGGATCTTCTCACAACCGAGACAATCCAATCCACTGGGTTTCTTGAAAAAGGCTAGCTCAAAGTAAATTTCATGAGGGGTTAGAATTCAAGAATTTTTTAGCCTTTAATCAAGTTCTTTTAGCTAAACTTTGTTGACGTATATTGACAAATCCTGATTCCCTTCCAAGTCTTATCTAGAAAGGTAGGTACTTCAATCAAAGCACAATCTTAGAAGTTTCTATAGGATCTAACCCTTCTTGGGGGTGGAGAAGCATTATGTTTGGACGAGAACATCTCCTCCAAGGAATGCGGTGGTAGGTAGGAGATAGGAAGGATATAGGTACTTTCTCAGATAACTGGATCATGACAGAAAAACCCTCACCTCCCGAACTGAGACCTCAAGGATTCAATAGCTCTTCGAGGGTTTCATTTTTCATTAAAGAAGGACAGGTTGAATGGCACGTTCCCAAATTAAAGTACTGTTTTAAGGAGACGTCGATGGATCTTATACGCAAAATGATCATCCTCCGTCTATCACAAAAAGATGCTCGAATTTGACATTTTACCAAAACATGAATTATTCAGTTAAAACAGGTTATCATCATGCTTTGGAAAATATTTTGAACCTCACTCTTATATTCCTGGTTCAAATAATCAACTCTCTTATTTGGAGAAAGACTTGGGCGATTGATATTCCAAAGCTGAAGTTTTTTTTTATGAGGGCATCAACACCAACGCGATCACAAGTCCAACTTTGGTGTGAGAAGAATGTGAGAAAGAGGTACAAGTTCGAGGTCCAATCACTAGAAGTCAAGCCAAGGCATTCAAGGGTCGACTTCAAGCTTATTTGACCCAGAACTTCACAAATATGGAGGCCGAGCTGTTTGTGGAACGAGAAGTGATGACGATTCAAGTTGGGGTTGTCTCGGGCCAAATTCACGGCCATGGAGGGGAAATCCATGATCGTGGAAATGGAGTTTGGACCATGAAAAATGTCCAGGGATTGAAGACCAAAATCCACGGTCTAGAAGATGAAATCCACGACCGTGGAATCTGAGTGCGAGGGCATGGATTTGGAGCTACTGCTGCGGGTTATTTTTTATTTCCTTTGCGGATTAAGTGACTTATGGTCCAAGACTAGTTTTTTTTGTTATTTTTGACCCAAAACCTTTGTAGCCTATATAAGGGGCTGAACTAAGTATTTTAGAGGGTAATCAACAATTTTATTCGGAAATCAAAACCCTAGAATTGCGTATTCAAACATCAACTTCTCTTCTTCTTATTTCTTAATCGTGGAATCGATTCAACAAGAATCCCGTTGCTTTCTCTTAGCTCATCACCCAAGCGTAATAGTCCTTCGTATACCTGACCCTCTTCCCAACGTGTGGATTTGGTTTGGGGTAGTGTGCTTCTAATCGATCTTTGTTGCGTTCCTAATTGTTCAAGTTCAGGAGTTAATGCCTCGGTTTATATCAGGTGCTATCAGAGCTCCAGTTCAAACCCAGTGATATACGTATCCTCCTTTATTGTGCGAGAATCATATGAATAAGGTTTTGTGTTCTTAACTGCCGCCAAGAGAGGGTAATTTCAGTTCTTGTTTTCAATTCCATTCTTGATTGTAACGTGCATTTGTTGGAAAAAGCGGTTCTAAAATAAGGTACAAAAAATAAGAAAGAAAGGTGAGAACTATGCCAGATCACGCAAGAAGGTATTGTGGAGCTTGATCGATCTCGTTAGCATTGTGGAAATCCTTCGCTAGGGCTGCTAGTAAAGTCATTTCTTGCTTGAGAAGTTCTTGTCTATCAGAGAGCGAGTGAAAAGAGGCTTTGTGAGATCATTATCCGGTAAAACACCATTTGATTTGAGTGAAACACGAGTGGTACGAAAAAGAGTAACCCGCCAACGAGTGAAACATGTGAGGGATTGATTTGCGAGGCCCTTTTCGTACCATTTATCTCAGACTTTAAGCATTGATGGATAACATTTTGTTTGAGTTTGAGAATCATGTCAGGAAAGGAAACTGACCCTCGTGCTATGCAAGATGAGGTAGTGGCGATCGAGACCGTAGAGGGAATCCGACGAGCCACAATGGAAGTCCTAGTTGGCCAGCTCACACGAATGATGCAAGCGTAGCACGACCAAATACACAACCGCCTCGAAGAAATAGATCAAGCTATCAATCTCCACCACGACGAGGAGGAGGAGGAGGAGGAAGAAATCCTACCACCACCAAGTGGAAGGCGTGGCTGACCTCTAGGTCCCAATAATCTCCAACCTTTACGAGGCAGAGGAGGTAGAGGTCGAGGAGGGAGACCACCAGTTCAAGCTCGTAGAGCTCCTGACCCTCGTGACTATGAGGAGTACTATGAGGAGGAAGAGTATCTCCCGCATAGGATGACGACATGAGGGGTATGAAGGTGAAAGTGCCATCATTCCAAGGGAGGAGTGATCCTGAAGCTTACTTCGACAGGGAGAGAATGTAACCATTGCTGCTCTTGAGTTTTCAGACTATGTCGTTGTTTGGTGGGACCAGCTGTGTGTTGCACGGTGATTAGATAAAGAAGAACCCATCATGACGTGGCATCAAATGACAACAACCATGAGGAGGAGGTTCGTACCCGTTCACTATCGACGGCATCTTCACCAAGCTCTTCACTTGTTGAGACAATGTGCGAAGAGCGCGAAAGACTATTTCAAGGAGATGGAGACATTGATGATTCGAGCTCACATCAATGAGGATAGGGAAGCAACAATGGCTCAATTTATCAATGGTATCATCCTGGAGATCAAGCAGGTCGTGGAGATTCACCATTACATGGAGATTAAGGATTTGGTGCATATGGCTACTAAGGTCGAGAAGCAACAGAAGGGAGGCTATGTGAGGAGGGTTGCTCCATCCACGAGTGCCTCTTCGAGTGCAACACGAGCTCTATTTGTTAAGAAGGATGACCCTAAGCCAGTTCCCAAGCTGATTTCCACCCATGTTGGGGAGAAGGTAACTACTAACACACGATCGAGATCTATTGTGTGTTACAGGTGCCAAGGAAGAGGTCAAGTCGCGAACCAATGTACGAATAAACACACAATGATCTTGTTGGATAATGGCGAGTACGAATCCGAGCATGAAGATGGATAGGTCGAGACTGAAGAAGAGGAAGAAGAAGCTGAGGAGCGGCCAGTGCAAGGCAACTACACCTATGTAGCTCGGAGACTTCTAAACGTGCATCAAAGAGAAGAGATTGAACAACGGGAAAACTTATTCCACACTCGCTGCTTGGTCAATGGGAAGTTGTGCTCGATGGTCATCGATGGAGGGAGTTGCAGTAGCGTTGTTAGTTCTCACATTGTGGCAAAGCAAGGATTGAAGACCATCAAGCACTCGTGTCCCTACACATTGCAGTGGTTGAACAAGGATGGATCCATTAAGGTGACAGGACAGATGCTACTGAGGTTTGAGATTGGGAGATACAAGGATGAGGTGCTCTGTGACGTGATACCTATGCAAGTTGCCCACATCCTATTGAGACGTCCATGACAATTCGACCGAGCTGCCCAACATGATGACAAGACCAACAAGTACACCTTGTCTTGCAAGGGGCGAACACATACATTGGTGCCAATGACTCTCAAAGAGGTCTATGAAGACCAAGTGTAGCTGCGACAACTCCGTGAGCAAGAGAGGGAGCAAAAACTCGAGTTGAGAGAAAATAAGAGAGAAAATTCTAGTGATCTTACACCTGTGAGTCAACCACGAGAGAACGTCGAAAAGAAAAGAATGATGAATGAAGCTCTATGTGAGGTTGAGAGTTTTCTTGTGAGAGTTAGTGAGATGAAGCAGGCCTTGAACCACAAACATGACATTAACCTGCCCCTATGTGATCTTCTACAAGCAAGGTAAGGAGAATGTGGTTGTTGATGCCCTTTCTAGCAGGTATGCTTTGATTTCATCTCTTGATGCTCGATTCATTGGGTATGAGCACATCAAAGAGTTGTATATCAGTGATCCTGATCTTGGTGAGATTTATGCGGCTTGTGACAAGCATGGTGAGGGAAAGCATTATCGAGCTGATGGTTATTTGTTTCTTGCTAACCAACATTGTGTGCCTCATGTTTCAATTCGAGAGTTATTGGTTAGAGAGGCTCATGGTGGAGGCCTTATGGCTTATTTCGGGGTGCCTCCAGGAACACTTCTACTGGCCACACATGAGAAGTGATGTGGAGGAGTGTGCAAGGTGTCTTAAGTGCCGCCAAGCAAAGTCAAGAGTTCAGCCAAATGGGTTATATATTCCTCTTCCTATTCCTGGTGCTCCTTGGATTTATATTTCGATGGATTTCGTTCTTGGATTGCCTAGAAGTAAGAATGGTAGAGATTTTGTTTTTGTTATGGTTGACCGGTTTTCAAAGATGGCGCACTTTATCCCATGTCACAAAACTGATGATGCATCACAT